GGCCCGGCACGGCACGGCACGGCCGCGCAGGCGCCCCGCGGCCCCGGCCGGGGCAGGTGCGGGAGGCGAGGGGACCCCGCTCCTCCTCCCTCGGGCTGCCGAGGAGGCGCTTGGTATCTCAGGTGGCTTTTTACATTCAAATAGAAGATTCTTTATTTTTTAATTTTTTTTTTACCAGGATGATGGGGGGGGGGATTACTATTTCAGCCAACTCCTATTTACATTCTTTCTTTTCTCGTTGTAGCAGTAGATTTTTCTTCTCTCTTCCCCTCCTGCTACCCCTTGACAGACATGCCGAGGTTGCGGCGTGAGCGGTGCTGGCGTTACCTCCGTCTGTGCGCATCGAGGCTCTTTTGCTGCTTCCAGGAGCCTCCGCTAAGATCCCTTCTCCTCCCAGTACGGATAACACCAGCAACCGCAGCGGGACCTCGCTACCTCCCTGCCCCACCACCCGGTGGCACCTCCCTGAGCAGCCTTCTCCAGCCGCCACCGAGTTGCCCTTCGCACACCTCCTCTCATCTCCTGGACCAAGGCCTTTATGGTCGCTTCACGCAGCAGAGAGGTTCAGCTCCCCGGAGCGTTGCTGGGTGCTGCAGGAGAAGCATCCATTCTGCAACCTGAGTTTCAGTCCCAGCAAACCCTCTCTCTGGTGTGAGGGCACCTGCTGCTCCCCACACCCTTTGCTTCTTATCTCCTCCTGGCCAGCTTGTCTGTCCCGTGATCCTGCATACTGCACATGGCTGCATGACACCCTCGGGAGAAAGGGGCAGGAGGGGACCTGCTCCAGCCAGGTTGCAAGCTTTCCTCCTAGCAGGCAGCAGATCAGATGGTGTCTGCCTCTCCCTCCTCCAGTGCAGCAGCGCCTCTGTCACTTGTTGTCGCTTGGTCTTGGTGAGCACAGCTCGCACTCCTCCTCCTCCCGGGTGAGTCACCCCCGGCTCAGCTCCCGCACTGCTCTGGCTGCTGCGATCCCAGCCCTGTGGACAGGAGAGGCACACTGGCCATCACGAGTTACTCCGCTGGAAGCAGAGTCACTGCACCCAAAGCGAGTGGTTGGCAAGTAGGGATCACCTTCACTGGGAAGCAGAAGAGGAGCTCTGTCAACAGCTGGAGGCCTCGATGGACAGGGAAGTCCAGCTTATCCCAATGCTGGCCGAAAGTTGGAGCGAAGCAAGGTTCTCCTATGCGGATGTATGCACAGGTGCTACTTCTCTCACACGAGAAGAGTCAATCAAAATTCTTCATGAAATACGGTGACTTGAGTTCTGCCTTATATTGATGGCACTGATCATGGCAGAAGGTCTGGTGAGAGCTCTGAAATGGATCTGTCACTGTGTAGGGCAAGGTGAACACCAGTCTGCTTCTCAAGTTGCAGGCAGACAGTGTAGAGTTAGCTGTGTTTCCTGTGCCTCCAATAGGGAAACAGAACAGGCTGCTGAATGAATCAACATGACAAAGGTTTGCACTCCCCTGCCCTGTTGGGCAAGATGTGGACTTAGGAGAGTGCCGCCAACACAAGAAGTGAAGATCCACAGTCTAACAAAGAACAAAAAAGGAGCAAGACATATTAGCAATATGAATATTCTGTTAATAATTATTTATATTATAGCCTTCATATGCTTACTTCTTTATTAGAATGCCTATTTATTCTGTGGAAGTATTTTCTGCACAACTGACACAAATAATAGTTGTTTATAAAATGTCTGTATCCTCCTGTTTCATCTATTTCCAATTTGATAACTTTTCTTAATGGCAATTAAATTCTTTCTATTAGCAATATGATTGTACACAGATAATTTTACAGAGCCATTAACTCTTGAGAGGAGCCACAATTGAATTGCAGAGTTTGGACAACAGGGAGAAGATGAACTATCTAACCAGAGTAACTTCCTCTGTGCTTTGAGATTGCCTTTAAAAAATGTGCTGAAATTTATGAATATTTTCATTAGTTTAACTTTCAGCCTGCAAATATGTGGATGTGCTTTTAAGATTAGGTCTGTGTCTGTGGCTTCCAAACACATCTCAGTTAGTTTTCCACATTTGTGCACCCAGCAGGATATGCTGCCTTAAGAATGCTGAGACCGTGTCTTCTACTTAAAGAGAGCAGAACAGGGAGGCATCCAAAGGCATAGTATCAAAATATCCTCCAAGGAAATCTCCAGCACGGTAGTCAGAAAATGATGACTTTTCAGTATCATTAGTTAGCCAGTGTTGTCATCTTCTACTTGGTAATCTACACGTTCCTAAAACCTGGACATCTCAGATGGCCAAATTTCTGCCAGGAAAAGGCAGATCTCTGGCAGCTGATCCCAGAGGAACACACACACACAAATTCCCAGCTGTGCTCCAGCCATTTGCCCAGTGCTCCAGGGTGCTTGTGCTGGCAGCAGGCAATTGTGTGCTTTGGGAAGGGTGCAGAAGGTAACAGGAAGTCATGGGACAGGCGGCTCTAGGAAGGTCTCCTCCCAGTTCCCATTCCAGATACCAACCAGATATTGTATTTCTTCCAGATATTTTTGTAAAAAACTCCCAGTGATGTGTCATTTCAGAGCTGTTGCAAGCCATTTTCTGCTTCTTCATGAGACAAACAAATAGTGATAGAAATGCTGCAAGTTGCTGATGATCAGTGCCTTTAGTCGTGCTTGTAAAAATGCATTTATGCATTAATTTCTGTGAAGCATATGCTATCATAATGATTGATGAATCAGCAGATGCTTCTGCACGAGTTGAAAGTATTCCCACTCAGGTTTTGCTTCAGGTTAGCAAGGAAACTGCTGAAAGGGGAAAATGTAATGCAGGTATATTTGGTAATATTTATGAAGTGTAGTAGGAAGAAAGCAGTCAGAGATTTGTAAATTGCCACCAGTAATCCCTCCAGGCAGCTCAATAAAAGACAAAAACAGCAGTAGAATAACTCTGCCTTGCTACAAAGAGAATCACCACAACCAGGAGCCTACCTGGTGGGAAAACATAAAATTGCTTGAATCAACACACTTGACAGGTCTAAATGTTACATGATGTGATAAGGGACAATCTGTTCACTTACCAGTAAAGAAGGTGCATAAAGTATTAAATGTGTTGAACATGACCAAATTTAAATGTTGAAAAAACATTTAACTTTAGAAATGTGTTTTAATTACTTTAATTATTGAATTCTCATGTTTTTTTCATTTCATACCATCAATGTCTTAGGAGGGAAAATGATTAAATAAATTAGCACATTAATTTGCAGTGCATGGAATTTTCTTGCACAGACTGTCCAATTGAAATGCTCCTTTCATTAGAACTTTCAAGTTGATATGCCTTATAAAGACTTCTAGCTGAGCCAAAACAAGCTCATTTGATCTTTCAATCAAGTACAGGCTCAAGTGTATTCACATGCAATACTACAACTGCTGTCTGCTTTAACAGAGAGGCTTATTTAAGCTTTATACTATAAAAGCTTAAAAGAAGCTGCTTCCATACAACAATAATTTTTAAAAATAATAACATTAAAACCAACAATGTGTCTTTCAGCACCAATTAATTTTATTTTTTTTTATTACGTAACATACTGTTAATTCCATAATTTGAGGCGGGGTAACTCTGCACACAGGTATTCCACAGCACAGAGAGTCTTCCATAGGACCTGAAACAGATCCTGCTTTTTGTTTTCTAAACCATCTGCTAGATGCTATCTGTCCTTTCATACATTTAACTGCATCAAAAGAATTTTTTTCCAAACCATATATATTGGAGTAATGCATCAGAAAGTGTCCAGAGATGCTAATGCTCAGTGCAGGCTTTGGGCAAAGCTTACCTTTGATGTAAGTTCCCACAAGGTTCCACCTTGCTGTTGTCACTAGTACTGAATTGGATTTCTCGTATGTGTCAACTTCATGTTTTGAACACCACATTTTTACTGTGGCTCTAACAGAAATATGAGAATTAAAGTGTGTTTAATATCCTGGTTTAAATGGTCAAGGGCCAGATTGAACGCTCCCATTGAAGTAAATGCAAGTTTTGTTTCCAAAGGGCTCTCTATACATATTGACACTTCCTTTTCATCTTTCTGCATAAAAATTTGGTGCCAAGAAGAAGATGAGGAAGTGGTGGGCAGCTTTCTCCAAAGCCTTATCAGGCTTTACTTGCAAGTAAATATAACTGTGGTTTGACTCAGGATCACTATATTTAGAGTTTTTTTCCTAAACTGTAGAACTAACCCAATTTACTGCAGTCTGGGCAGAGATTGGAAGTGTTGGCCTGCAGTGCTGGGCTGCATTCGGCTTAAACTGCAGCTGTTTAGTACTGGTTCAGAAGAGGAGCCATTAGTCCAGTGTTTC